TTTTTAACTTTCCAATTATCTGAGTTGTGAGGAGCTTCTTGCGATACGGCTCAAGTAGTTACCCATAGTTGCCAAGTCCTAGACTGGCCGGACAGGCTTTGTCCCATTACTAATGGGCGGGATGATTAACATTAATTGGATGTGGCCCAGACGTTAGGTCCTTCTTAAGGCGTTAGGGCATTTTTAGATAGCGAGGGATAATAATTATCTTTTTTTTATTTGCAAGTATTGTTATTCTTACGTTCAACTTTCGATTATTGCTTCTGTTTTTTTCTCAAATGAATGAATCATTATTGTATTTTTTACTTGTTTAAACCAACATTAAACTTTATTATAATCTGGCCGGTACATATTAATTTAAGGTTGTTTTTCCATTTATATGTCTTTTAACCCTATTGATTTTTGCAGATATTTATCGTGACAGATGACACGATTTTCATTGTAAAAGCAAATTTGGTTCCTAGATTCTTTGTATTTTAGTGCTTAGTCATATTTGTGTAGGAACTATCGGATAGAGTTTACATTGATGGTCTTCATTTTTGCGATCATTAACACGCTTTGAGTTAACTTCACTCTAGCGGTTCCCACTTTTTCTGTCTTTGCCTTGTGAGCATCATGCATTTAGAAGCCTTATCTATTTTAATTTCCCGGCCGGGGTATTCCGGCACTTTTTGATTGACTATTGTTAGGTAGACTGGGCTTTACTATTATTTTCAAATCGCTATCTAAGCTATCTCATCTCTTTATCTCTTATTATTTATTTCTCTTTTTCTTGTTCACATTTCCCCAGGGACTACTTTACTATCCGTTTCCTCCAAAAGTATATCCACGTGGCTCGTCAATTAAAGCCTCAGTTAACCCCAGAGGCTGCTGCAATTTTAGCCGAGAAGTATTGCGATTTGCGTGTTCAAGATGCCTCACTCGAACAGTCTGGTCCGAATGCCACTCGCCTGCGCCGTACGCAGCCGATCACAGCACGTAGCCTTGAGACCTTAATCCGATTGGCTTCGGCACACGCAAAGGCTCGAATGTCTAAGACCGTTAGTCGCCGCGATGCAGAGGCGGCCGTCAACCTACTCTCCTTCGTTCTATTCAAGGTGAGCACATCTTTCCTCGCTTCGTTAGCAATTGTCATTGCGCCTTTTACTTTCTCTTTGCTCTTGTTTTGCGATCCTTATAGCTTCATTCTTCATGCTTAACTATTTATTTTGTACATTTGACACTTGCTTGATATCTTTTCTGCCTTCTAATACTGAATTACCATTTTAGTTTGTTAGAGAATGCAG